CTGATATAATTACATCTCGGTTGTTTATTTGGTTCCATATATATTATTTCACAATAGATTTGTGTGTCAATGTATACTCTTACAAATATATAAGGGAAGCTGAACTTTGGACAGCGTTAACCAACTTTTCAAAGACATAATTTTATTATAGGATACTTATATATTATAGGATACTTTTATAGCGCACATATCTAGGCAACTAGTGCTTGCTAAAGGCGCTGATATTTTTTCCCTCGATCATTGGATGTCAATCTCAATGGCACATTGTATTATCAATCTCAACTCCCTGGGGAGTATACAACTCTTGCAGCCACTTGGCGAACCGAGTTATTGTGGTTTTCTCATCCTAACGAGGTACCCATTCACAGCTGGGTGGACTGGGACACATAGTCACAGTATTTTGTCCAAGTTCACTGCACGTTGCTGTACCCGCAACTAGGTGTTTGCACGTATTCATGTGGCCACCATCTGGTCATATACCAACGGATTCGTGGGTTCTTTTAAGTGCACAGGGTTGTGTACTGTACACTAGGGGTTGTGACAACACTGAAAGAGTACACCCTGTCACAGGTGTAAGCCCCCATCTTATGAACGCACCACCGTTTATCTTTATCAAGTCTTTATCACCACCCATAAACACAACGCAGTAGCCTTATACACGTACATGGGGTGCCATTCTTGATTTTGACAGTTTTCACGATCTCTCAGTGAGTGAGTGAGTGAGTGTAGTTTTACGCCGCAATCAGCAATATTCCAGCTCTATGGCGGCGGTCTGTAAATAATCGAGTGTGGACCTTTCAAGGAGGTCGATAAATCACTGAAGACCATACATTTTGACAATCATCTTGCATCACACAGTTGTTAGTGTTTGTTTTTACCCCATTTTTTGTTTGAAAATGAAAATCGTAAAAATGCAAATTTCACGTCATACACCAATCATCTTTCAAGAGCGATTACTGTACAAACAACTATGGTCATAAGGAAGTGCAACTGGTGATGCACTCTCAAAACATTCATTATTATCATATCAACATTGATTGACTCCGATATATCTCCCAAGTTTTTCAATCGTAAATTAAAATGAAGTTCATCTACCTTTTTTGAAGAGTATATCATGCGATTACTTGTATAGAGCTACTGCTTGTCAGGTACTAGTGTGAGTTAATAAGTTTAGTTTTACGCCGATTTTTAGCAATAATCTACCAATATCACCGCGAGGGACAACAGAAACTGGCTTCACACACTGTCTGGAATCGAATCTTCGGCGTGACGAGCGAACGCTTTAACCGCACAGCCCCGTCAGATACAAGGAACAACTAGGTGGGTTGGTTAAGTAAAATAACGCTTAGTCTCTGGATATATATAATATTGATAGTAACAAATAAACCCATTTAAATTGAAAAGGAGCCCTGGTGAGTTGGGAGTCCTGAACCTGGGGAAATCTAGACTTGCTTCATTAAGACTTTTAGCATTGCAGGGAGGGCTGGGTGGAAGGGAAGATAATGTGTGACAGACTAGTTGGTTCAGCTATATTGCAGCTGGCTGTAAATAATTGAGTCTGGACCAGATAAGCCAATGGTCAACAGCATGAACATATAGGTCGGTGGAGTGCAAAGAGGTGAAAGTGGCCACTCGGTATCGACCCCGATGTGGCAATATCAGGATAGAATTGATTAGTAACTCATTTTAAAGTGCGATCAAATGTTTAAATGGCCAGCGCACTGACCACGTTGATGCGTGTCGTAGACGCCGAAAAAACACACTTTGTAATTCAAATATTCTACCATGACGCAACAACATATATATGGTAAAAAATAGTTATTATTGTTTATGATTCTAAGAATACTGGGGCGGTGGGGTAGCCTAGTGGTTAAAGCGTTGGCTCGTCACGCCGAAGACCCGGGTTCGAATCCCCACATGGATACAATGTGTGAAGCCCATTTCTGGTGTCTCCCGCCGTGATGTTGCTGGAATATTGCTAAAAGTGGCGTAAAACCAAACTCAGTCAGTCAGTCAGTCTAAGAATACTACTTTAATTACATCACAGCCAAAACTCCCGTTTGAGCAGTTCGCCACACAAAATGTTATTTTTTTATCAGCTGCGTTCCAATCCTCTGCGTGCTGTATTGAGGGGTTTCAGCGGTCTGTAGTTCTGATGCCGTATTGTTCTGGCCTTATTTTGTCTCCAGATTTACAACTCTCATTTCGCAATTAGAGTTAACAAATCGAAACGTGACTCATTGCCAAGTTTGATGATTTATGTTTTTTGTAATAAACCTCGTGCATCCTGACTGTTATTTGCCGTCCCTTCTCCGTCTTCAGATTCCTATTTTCCTTCATCAAACAACCCTCAAGCTGTTGTTTCTTCAGGATTTTACCCGATTGGTGTTTTCATGATTTCATGGGGCGATGGGGTAGCCTAATGGTTAAAGCGTCAGCTCGTCACGCTGAAGACCGGGTTCGATTCCCCACATGGGTACCATATCTGGTGTCCCCCGCCGTGATATAGCTGGAATACTGCTAAAAGCGGCGTAAAACCTTACTCACTCTGACGCCTTGAGCTCAGTGGCGATAGCTAGGAGGAAAGGCTGTTTCTTGAAGCTTTTAGTAGTGTAACATTATTTATGGGTTCTTGTTCCATCAGTGCTGACATTACGACTGAAATGTTCCATCTTGGCAATGTGTGTGATATTTTGATATCTTCCAGTCTTGTAACCTTGTAGGGCTGACCTTTCTTTACCGATTCCGTTTGAAACCTGGGAGGGGGAGGACTGACTGACTGACTGAGTTTGGTTTTACGCCGCTTTTAGCAATATTCCAGCAACATCACGGCGGGGGACACCAGAAATGGGCTTCACACATTGTGCCCATGTGGGGATTCGAACCCGGGTCTTCGGCGTGACAAGCCAATGCTTTAACCATTAGGCTACCCCACCGCCCGGGAGGGGGAGGAGATAGTAGGGGTTGGAGGTAAATAATCCTAATTTAGATCGATTATTGTTGACGACTATTAACCCGGAGACAGGAAAGCTGAGAAGAATACCTGAGTAGTGTCTGATTCCTCTAATGACGTGAGCTCCAAAGTCATGAACCTTGTGATTGGCCAAGTTTGTGGCGGATGGCCTGTCAACTGTCAAATGAAATATGCGCCCTAGGGTGTGTCTGGCATAACTTGAAAGCAGTGGTGTTTGTACTCTCATTTTATAACTTCGAGACGCCATGTTTGTCCGTGTTTACCCGTTAAGAACCAGGGCCCTTATTCTTCGAAACGTTCGTATCCGCAAGAATTCTTAACGGTGATCGTAGCCAATGTGTTAAGAATGGGCTTAAGAAGTTCGTAGGACTACAAACGTTTGGAGAATAGCTAGCCAGGCTAGAATTGGTCTTCAGTAACCCATGCTTGTCGTAAAGGCGACTAACGGTAGTCAGGCTCGCTGACTTGGTTGACACGTGTCATTGTATCCCAATTACGTAGATCGATGCTCATGCTGCTGATCATTGGATTGTCTGGTCCAGACTCGATTGTTATCTAGAGTTTTAAAAACTGTTGTACTTACTCCCTACATTATAAGTTATAACACAGAGTCCTTCAAGTGAGTGAGTGAGTGAGTTTGGTTTTACGCTGCTTTTAGCAATATTCCAGCAATATCACAACAGGGACAACAGAAATGAGCTTCATGCGCGGAACCGAACCCGGATCTTTGGCGTGACAAGCCAATGCTTTAACCAAAACATGTTTCCTGCTTTAGGAATATTCAGTGATAGCCCCACAAGTGGCACCAGAAATGGGCTCCATATATGATACTCATTTTGGGAATCATACGACAACTTACCTTAGTGGTAAAATAGTAGACACCTGCTGATATCACCGCCTCAAACTACTATGGAGAAGATTCAACCTATATTTGTTGTCAATATATATATGCTATGAAATTTCTTAATACACCTAAAAGCTGCTGTTTGAAACATGTAGCCCCAGTGCTTGTGTATTTTGCAATAGCAGGCATGAAGAAGAAACAGTACTGACTGTCTCAACTGTTAGGCGAAGACAGTTGCCAGAGGGCAATTATTCAAGGCTTCCTCAAACAATTAACTTGTAGTGTTGATGCGTTCATCAATATTGGTTGTAGAACTTCAAATATTTTTGAAGCTTATCAATGTTGAAATCATTGTGATGTTTAAACGCTGGTCAATAAAATTGGCTGCTAAATTGGCTTTCACTTGCTTGTGTTCACAGACATTCACAACCATTGATCCATGAGGCTGTGTTTGTCAGTTTTACCACACATAAAAAATATAGTTATCGAACACTGTGTAGACGAGCTGGGATTCCATAGTTCCAGATATACCACTGCTACATGCAGGGCCAGCACGCAGGTGTGTCTACATCAATCACGGCCTCATCAGCAACTTTGCCGGTATTCATGGAGGGGAAGGGGTCGCGGTCTGACTCCATTATTTGAACCTTACATTTCAAGACAAGTTTCCCTGAATCCTGGAGTGAGTAGGGCAACTGGAGAAAGTATGGGAAAGCAATAATAATGAGGGACCTAAAAGATTTGGTGGGCAAAAAGTGTGTGAAGTTTAGAAAATGTATTTGAAACCCACAACACACGACATACGAATACATGTTGAGTGAGGACGAGAAGACAGACTGTAGCTATCACTGTCTGTCATGGTGGAAGTCAGTACTCAGTGTGGTCAGCCACTGTTAGCCTTGATATTGATCAAATGTTTTAGAACTTAAAGTGAGCAAGAATGATGACCAAGTGAACGAGGAGGAGAGGTTTTACACAACTTTTAGCATAATTCCAGCTACATCTCAGTGCCCAGAATGGCAGAAATGGGCTTCAAACATGTATGCATGAGAGGAATCGAACCCAGTCCTCAGTAAGATGATCAGTTTAACCATGAGGACACTCAACCGTCCCTCTGAGAGTCCATAAAAAAGGAAACATGTTTATAATAGTTTCATTTTTTTGCATTTACAATTTACAAGGAACAGTTTGTGTATTTATATACATAGTTAATATACAAAACTTAACATATACAACAAATCACCAACATCATCAGGAATTATATGTACAATAAACATATATTGACCCAAATATAGAATAAATAAGCTAAAACCAGGTGCCTTCTCATTCAATGGTTCTCATAAGCACGATAAATTTGCCATTTCCAGTCTCAATTCACTGCCCTATGATACAATAGAACTGTGTCCTTGACACTGGCATCATTTGGGGGTGAAAGGTCAAGCAGAAACATGCCCTTCCACATGGACATTTCATCTCATATCTTGGATGGACATGGGATGTTGGTTATCTAATCTTCCATGTTAACCAAAATGACTTGAGTGAGCTTGATCTACTTCCAATACAACAGTATTTCCGTTACATCACAGCCTGTTAGCTTCAAGCAAGTGTATAGACTTTAGCTGGTTGTAAGGTTTATCATATTGCTGAAATAACCATGACTTTGCCCTGATCCACCAGGGATCTAGGGTTAATACAGCTCTAACCCATGTCCATCCATGATCATGTTTCAGCTCACTGATGAATCTCTGCCAGCACACTGTATTGCCTTAGAAAATCTGTCCACCTTCATTGGGTCATGGTCCCATGGGGTAAAAACTTCAAGTCCCACACTGAAGGTCATCTACCCTTCAACAAAGTACACTTCACATCCTTCCATCTCAGGGTGGACATGACCTTACAAGGTCAAGGACTTCAGGTGACAGACTGGAGGTCATCTACCGTCAACCAGGGGCGCATCCACATCTTTCCCTCCAAACTCTGGGAAACATAAACCAACAAGGTCAAATACTTCGTCACAGATTGAAGGTCATCTATCCTTCTACCAAGGACACCTCCACATCTTTCCCTCCCATCTCAGGGTAGACATGAACTTGCTGAGCCAAGCTACTGTTGTACACTTCTCCCCTGAAGAACTTGACAAACTCAGGAGGATCATCCGGGATGTCATTGCCATTCTCCTCGAGATTTGATTGGTCTGAAATACAATGTTGCAATATTGTAACAAAAATGTTTTTACAAATCCCAATCTATTATCGTTGAAAAATTGCATGCCTAAAGTTAATCATACTCCACAGCCATTCCAACAACCACAGAAAAGCATACTTGAATTGAGCCAGTGTTGTTTAATGCTGCACTCAGCAACATGAATATTCCATCTGTCATCTAGGCCACCTGATCATCATTTTGTAGTCCTCACAAGGACATGTTACCAGGGACATTCATTACCACAGAGTCCTCATGGTCAACAACTGGAAGTGTTTCAAATACTGTGATTATGAATGTTATGCCGTTGACTCACCAGCTCGGTACTTGTGTATGTGGACCAAAGGGAGATGAATGAAACCTGCTTTCACAGCCACCACGTCCAGGACTGTCTCATAGAAGTCGTCCTTCAGAGAAAATATTCCTGCAAGGATGACAATCAGATGTAGTGGGTAATTGGACAATGTTTACACAGAACTATCAACAGTTAAAAAAGGCCTTTCCCAAATGTAAGTCATCTGTATGTATACCCTTCACACTGATGCAAAGTCACACCAATACACACAAAATAGGACAGTCTTGTTTTCTCCATGTTACACTAAATGAATGAGGAGTTAGATTTACTTCCTCCCGTACAGCAGTATAGCTGTTACATCACAGCCTGTTAGCTTCAAGTGAGTGGAGGGGTGGTGGGATAACCTAGTGGTTAAAGCATCCACTCGTCACGCCGAAGACCAGGGTTCGATTCCTCACATGGGTACAATGTGTGAAGCCCATTTCTGGTGTCCCCTGCTGTGATATTGCTCGAATATTGCTACAAGTGGCGTAAAACCATACTCACTTACTTAAGTCAATGGGTAGTGAAATATAGCATAGAAACTGAGAATATTCACGTTTGAATTTTTCACATTCGGGGGGACCCTGCTCCCTCTTTCTCATGATGATTCACTCTGCCACAGATAATCATTGTAGTGTATGACAGGTTCTAGAACTCTGCATTGCTCATCACTCACCTGTAGACTTGCCAACCAGTGCCCAGGTGTCTGTGTCGGACTTCACGTCGTATACCAGCATCTCGTCAGGGTCGTGACCTCCGTTACACTTCTTCACCTGGAGCTTGAGAGCCACTGTCTTCCCTGTCTTACACTGCTTGTCCTCCTCGGAGGGTGTCACGTTGTAGCTCAGGATGTACTTGGTCTGCAAACATTACCTCACTTCATTGAATCATTGAGTTAATTCAGTTATAGGTTGCATGTGTGACACACGGGGTGAAGATGGAGAGTCAGTGTCAAACACACTACAGGGGTACAGGTATTTGCTTACCTGGAGGTTCTCCACACTACAGGTGTACAGGTATTTGTTTACCTGGAGGTTCTCCACACTACTGGTGTACTGGTATATTTTTACCTGGAGGTTCTCCACATCACGGGGCACAGGTATTGGCCTATCTGTAAGTTCTCACTACAGGTGTACAGATATTTGTTTACCTGGAGGTTCTCCACATCACGGGGTACAGGTATTGGCCTATCTGTAAGTTCTCAGTACAGGTGTACAGGTATTGAGGTTCTCCACATCACGGGGTACAGGTATTGGCCCATCTGTAAGTTCTCACTACAGGTGTACAAGTATTTGCCTACCTGGAAGTTCTCCACACAACAGGTGTACAGGTATTTGCGGGGTGTGGTCTGCAGATCAAGTGGACAGGTGTAGAGGAAGGTGAACTCTGTCTCCAGTCGGGGAATGTCTGGGATGTTGCAGCGGATCTGCCACAAGATGGACGCTGTCTGGCTGCTATTCACTTTCTGGAAACAGAAAACATGTCAGTTTGCTAAATATCATATTTTTGTATTTGTATGAAATAGACACATGATAAAGTTGCAAAGAAAAATATAAATGTTTCTACATAAAGTCAGTAAAATTTTGACAAAGTCTTGAAAATATTTACCAGTATTGACTTTTATTGACACGTGAAGAGAGATTCTCCATTTACTTGCAAAGCTGGCATAATCCAAATCATTCAGACAAGCTGTCCCCTGTTGATTAATTACTATTCTGTATCTTGTTGAGTAAAACTCAGGTTCATATACCATTTTGCAGATCATATTTCTTCTCAATCCAGATGTGTACCGCCATGTTGTTACCATGGTGACACAGCAGTGTTCTCTTACCATCTGTTGTCCTGGTTTGTTCATCAGCTGCAACTCCACATCGTTGGAATTGAGGGCAGATAACTCTGGTTGACTGACTAGGAATTCTGTTTGGGTATTGCCTTTGATGGTGACTTGAAGATATTTTCTGTAAAACAAAGCTACAGTATATGAGCCCTTCTTGGTGTGCCTTATGATTATATCAATGCATAAATGTCTTTGACGACAAACAGTCAAACCTTACACACTCATGCTGTTGCATCAAGACTGCTTTCGAACACTAATTTTGTTTTTAATATTTCTCTACCAGTGGCAGAAAATATAGACACATGATAGTAATTAAAGTTAAAGGTCTTAGGTTCTAAAGCTTAATTTGAATTTGGTAAATGATGATAAAAATGAGTACTAGTGATTTTATATGCAGACGACACATTCTCTAGTTGTATCATGTAATATGTAACCCGTGAAGATTCGGGTTAGAATTGATCAGCAACCCATGCTAGTCGTAAGAGGTGACTAACGGGATCAGGTGGTCAGGCTCGATGACTTGGTTGACACATGTCATCGTATCCCAGTTGTGTAGATCGATGCTCATGCTGTTGATCACTGTATTGTCTGGTCCAGACTTGATTATTTACAGACCGCCTCCATATAGCTGAAATATTGCCGCTTACTGTATTATGTAAATAATCGTTAGTCAGTTAGGCAATATGAAATGAAAAGCTTACTTTTCTTTGCATGTATGTAAAACATGTTCCACTTTGAAGGGATGGATAAAGTTGAGATGAATGTCAAGTTTCTTGTCCCACACATCGATATGGCATGTCAGCTGCAAAAAAGAACAGTGACTGACTGATTGATTGATTGAGTTGTTTGGTAAGTAGGTTTTAACCCTCATTTAAGCAATATCAAATGACCGCAAGTTATGACAAGCTAACTCTTTCGTCACAAGGCTACAGAAAAATACAAGGCATATTCATCCAAGTACAATGGTGAAAGCTTTAGAAAACATGCACCATTTAGGATTATGACAATTACCTTGGCATCCGTAGAGCCATCAAATGTTTGTCGCGTCTGATGGAGGACAGTTGTACAAAAGCCTGACGACTGATCAGCTTCCAGTGGCGAGAGCTTCAGGACAGAGTTACCTTCCCTTGTAAAGACCTCCAGGTTCTCAGTGGTCTTGAACTGAGCACTGCAGCCTTGTGGGAGGGCAAAACTGCCTGTCAGCAAGGTCAAGGTCGCCTCTTGCTTTATCCCAGCAATGAAGTGATCTAAGAAAAAATTGATCAGTTCAAACTTTTGAACACCTACTTTCTGCTGAATGAAATCTGTTAACAGTAAATCTGTGCAAATTCTCTTCTTTGGTTAACAGATCAGAAAAATAATAGTTCAGGAACATTATCAGCACATTATATACTCTAGGCATGGGTGATGTGCCATTCAGAACGTCGTTGCTGTCACCTGACATCAATGTCATACCTGACTTGACAGGCTTCAGCTCCACCCTTGGTTGGTCACAGACGACTTTGAAGAACAGGTCCCAGCCACTGAGGGACTTGAGGAAGTCTAGATGCTTCACCTCGTAGCACAGTTGACTTAGGTAGAACACACCCTTCTCCAATGTCTGTGGGAACATGAAGACACAGTTGACTTATGAATTTATCATAGGTGGATCCAGAGGGGGGGTGCAGGGGTGCGCAGGGGTGAAAGAAGAAATATTTAAGTAACTCCAGATTCTGAATTGGAAAAGTATGCAGTTATTAATTCTACACTCCTGTTTTCAGGCTGTCCAGAATGAGTAATGGAGTGAGGGAGAGAATGCTGGTTAACAAACTGGTGATACTGATATTGTAATACTGTTTATCTTTCTCCAACTGTATGTTGAGGAAGATATCACAGTTCAAACACATTGTGTGTCTTAGAAAAACATGCAGAATGAGTGAGTGAGTGAGGGGTAGTTTTGCGCCGCTTTAGCAATATTCCAGCAATATCACGGAGGGCAACACCAGAAATAGGCTCCACACATTGTACCCATCTGGGGAATCAAACCTGGGTCTTCGGCGTGATGAGCGAACCCTTTAACCACTAGGCTACCCCACCGCCCCACATGCAGAATGAACACTTAGATGAACATAGCAATTCTATAAACCGATGTAGAACAATGATGTGATGTCAACCAGCCTCCTAAAAAGAACAACCAAAAAAAACAAACAAAACAATATCACAACACTTAGAACTTCGTTGAGAACAACGCTAAAACCTATGCTGGAACAGATAAACAGAAACTAATGCTGACAGAATATTTCAATGACATAAAATCATCACCAATCCTTCAACCATTGACTACATCAACACACCAAAAATCCCACTCAAAAAAGTTAAAGGACACCCAATTCTAACATACTGTGGTATATACCAAAGTATGAGCTGCACCCACCTTCATCTTGAGCTGCACATTATTCTCGCCTGGCTTCAGCTCAATGTCCTCTGCTAGAAGGCTCACTGTGAAATCTCCCTTCATTGTGTGGTCCACGTCACTCCCCCCTCCTGGCCCACTGTCTGTCCTCTTTAACAAATCATGAGCATTTTTACAAGTCAGCCCCGGCCCCACAATCTTCCCTTGCCTCTTCTCATAGGTGGCCACAGTGTCAATCATTGCTGGCAGCTGCTTTCTGATTGGCTGAAAGTTTGCTATGTGTTCAGGCTTGTGAATGGTCAAGCTGGGAGTTCGTGTGTGGGCAATTTTCTTTTTGGAGAAGTGAGACGAGTTGGGCTGTTTCTCTGGTGGGCAGTGAGATACAGAGATGTTGATTTTACTGCATGTGATGGATCTTGGGAAGTGGTTGTAGACCTTTGTGTCTATGACAAAATCTTCATGAAGGATCACAGTTGGTGTCAGAACTGCTGCGCTCTCCAAACCAAGAATCTTGGAGGCTTTTAGGATGCACATTTCTAATTATAGACAAAACAACAGATTGAACATCAAGACAAAGCTTACAAGGTGAGGTGAGGTGGAATTGGGTTTAACGTCGTGTTTAAGAATATTTCACTCATATGACGACGTGCATGCGTGTGTATGTGTGGCTGCTTGTACTAGCCCCGACTTCAGCTGGTTTTAATGTACTACCTCACTGAGATACCATGCCGCAGTGAAGCATGAATATCCCACTCAGACACATTATACTAACTCCGAGCCGACCAGTCCTTGATGTACCCATTAATGCCGAGAGCCAGGCAGGGACCAACAAGTACCATATTTTAACGTCTTTTGGTATGACACAGCCAGGGAACGAACCCGCTACCTTACACACTCCAGGTGGATGCTCTAACTACTACGCCACCGATGTGATTTCAAAGCTTACAAACTAGAGTAGATGATTCATTGTTATTGAAAAGCAAAACAATTTCAATGATTTAATCAATACATTTGGTAAGTAATTAGTTTTGGAGTTTTGGACCATGCAAACATCATGAACAACAATCTGTGGGTCCTCCATGTTCTCGGGGATTCATGGCATAGTATTCACACAGGGTTTATTCTGCCGAGACTGCCTGTGTCTGATCCTTTACTCACCATCTTTGTCTTCAGCTATTCTCATCACTTCACTGAAGTAGTGCTCCCTGTCGGCCATCTTGAGGTGAGGGCTGCAGGCAATGTGACAGGCTGTCTTCAAAAATCTCACACAGTCAAGGAACTGAGTGAATAAGTTTAGGTTTACTCTACTCTTAGCAATATTCCAGCAATATCATGGCAGGGGGACACCAGAAATGGGCTTCACACATTGTATGCATGTGGGGAAACGAACCCGGGTCTTCGGCAGGACGAGCGACCGCGTTAACCACTAGGCTACTCCACCGCCCCTAAAGGAACTGAGAACAACTACTACTGACTTGTCAGACTAAGTGTAAAGCACTGTCCTTTCTTCCCAGCTCTTGAAAGAAACAAATTCTGTGACCTATCTTAAAAGGGAGGGAGGGGAAAGAGGAGAAAAGAAGAAATGATTTTTTTGGGGGGGTCACCCATTTTGTTCTTGGGAGGTAGGGGGGTCATCAATTTTGTACACACGAACTGTGGGGTGTCCAGCAATTTTGTACATTCATAATATGAAAAAAATTGCTTAAAAATTATGGGTAGGGGGGAGGAGGTTCATTGAATTTGTACATGACATGTACATGCTTCTCCATAAAAAACATCACACACCCCCCACCCCAAACCATAAATTATGAACGGTCCCTTATGTGGAAAGACGTATGTTATAGACATTTACCACTCCAGTGAAACAGACAAACATGCTCATGGCTCTGAAGCCTATATAATATGTTCCACCTGCATGGATATGGTGCTGGCAAATCCAGAAATGTTATTCATATGAACCAGGATTTGAACCAACAATCAAAGGCTGCTTGCACAACAAAGGGACACAACTCTTCACAAGGAGGATACTTGGCATTGTCGTCCATCTTGGCCTGGCAGACGGCGAGCTCCAGCATGGTGCCGTCTGCCAGGTGCTCCCAGTGCTCCTGCCGGTACATCTTGATGGCATCCAGCAGGAAACCTTCCGCCTTGTGGGGCTCCCCTAGCAGCCTGCCAAGAGGGGGTGAACATTCCTTGTTTTAAAGTTTAATCACAGCTTGAAAGTCATCAAATCGTATTACAAACACACTACAGAGACTTGAATTACATAATGGAAAATATTCTGTAACAATATTTACTTACATATAGAAGTCAGCCAGGTCCCTGCCAATGATCCGTGCTGACCGGAACCGACAGATGTGTTTGTATGTTCCCATGGCAAGTTCACACATTTCCTGTTGAAAATAAATCCTCCGTGAAAAGAGAATGCTGGAAAGACATTTCAAGTATTCTCAAAACATCTTAATATCTTGTTTTAGGTAGCTAATCACATACTTTTCTATTAATGACGTATGTTATGGTTAAGCCTACAAACCATTTGACATTCAGCTCATATAACATATGGAGAAAGTTTTGTCATACAGTTTTACAGTAAAAGCCCAGTGAGATACCATTTGACTGTGTAACAAGTCATAGTATACCGACTTAATGCTGAATACCAGACTGGTAAATGCAAATGTAATCTCTAACATCTTTTGGTAAGATGCAGATGGGGAATTCAACCACTGACCTTCTGTTTTTTCTGGTCAAACACTGTATCCATTAGCCCACAGGCAGTGCATGAGTATATGAACTTACCAGGTAGTGTTTCTTGTAAGACTCATCAGAGGACAGGGCTTGTCGCAGTCTGTCTAGAGGTGTAATCTTGTCAGTAGGTGCTACAATTTGAAAAAATTCATCGTTTTTAAAATTCTTTCCAGCTTTCAAAATCAGATAAAAGGAACAAAGTTGTAGAAAAATACAATAATTCCTGTTCTTGTACTGAAATATTATGAAATATGGGGTTACCTGATAGAACTACAAAGTTTTAACCAAATGTGAATGTCAGTTACTACAAGTAGTTACCTTTGTGAAGGTAAGATAAACTCATTATCTAAATGTATTGACCAAGAAACAAGCTGACCTGTCTGTTCCCAGTTCAATAGGAACAAGTTCCAACAGTAACTATGGTAACATTGACTTGCAAATGATGCATGTCTTCCCTGTTCAACAGGAAGAAGCTCCAATAGTAACCATGGTTACACTGACCCTTCAACTGACCTGTCTCTTCACTGTCCAGTGTGACCATGCCTGAGGTGAGATCCACTCTACAGCTCAGCTGCTTGGACGTCGGCCTGGTCCCAGGAATCAGGCCGCACACACTCCCTAGTTTCTTCAGCTGAAACATTCACTGGGTCACTTTACACATACCAGGGGTGCAAGACATACAAATTAATCAGAAAATTTTAGCTATCAGGCCAACACGTGTGGTTATAACAATTTGAATCAAATTTGCTATGACTGCCATGTATGGAATAGTAGAATGACATGTGTTTAGTTATCAACAGTTTGGCCAGTACTGCAAAATGTTCAATGCAGCTTGGCCCCTGCTACTTGGCCCCTGCTATTTGTTGGCCAGAAAGTGTAAAAACCTCAGTAAATTGCCCTAAGACAGAGTAAATCCTTTAGAAAGCACCTTCCCTTGCTCTCAAGAACAAGTTCTGTCGCCCACAACTCACTGACCTTCCGCCTGGCATAGTCCCACAGACTGGCAGTACACAGGGAATTCTTGTTGATCCGCGACGACTCATTGTACCGCTCACACGTCTCCAGCACTGCAAGGCTACTGAGGAACACCCAGCACCAGAGGGCGCGCCCTCTGGAACCTCCACCTGTCGACACATAACAGTAGGTCTGGAAACACTAGCACTACTGCAAGTTACTGTACATATTTTTGAACACCTCTACTTAACCACATAAAGGACATTAAGACCATATAGCTGGAATATTGCAGAGTGTGGCTTTAAACAACAAACATAAGGCTCTGTTCAACATGATGTCATGGTTTATATTCAGATCCACTGTTTTTTGTAGAATGCTTTGAAGATTGTAAGGGAGGTTGCTTTGATTTAGTGTGAGTGAGTGAGTGAGTGAGTGAATGAGTATAGTTTTACGCCGCTTTGAGAAATAATCCAGCAATATCATGGCATGGGACACCATAAATGGGCTTCACACATTGTACCCATCTGGGCAATCAAACCCGGGTCTTCGGCGTGACAAAAGGACACTATAACCACAAGGCTATCCCACCGTCCTAGTTTGAGAGTCTGATACAATTAAAAACATGTGGAAATGTACATATATGTACTACAAATGGAAAACATCAATAGGGTCCTTATTATCGGCGATTTACTTATTCATTACATCAACCTCACTAAAATCAGACCTTAGTGTTCGCTACTCCTCTACATACATCAGATGTCATCCCATCAGAGATCACTTCAGGATAACCGTTCATCCAACCAATCAGACCATAGAGACAGCTCCTGTTGGTCATTTCATTGGTCAAAGCTTGTGAAAGGTCATTCTGACATGACCTGAGATTTGATGTTCTCAGATCTTTGTGCAGCAGTAGTGATAACAAACATCTGACTTAAATCAAACTATTGGTAGCTAAGAGTGGCATCAGAGTCAAGTATTGATCATGTATGGCATCACATCATGAACACACAGGTAAATGTTGTTTTATACTGGAGTTGACAATATTGCAGATACTGCATGACCACCAGGAAGTCAAGGAGAGTGAGGAGTGAGTGAGTGGGTGGCTGTTTGAGCCAATGAGCAACACCATTCCAATTCATATCACAGGACACCAAGAATAGGCTTTGACACTACCAATGTGTGTTATACAATTCTTCACTCTGACAGGGGCTAGTGGGGTGAAGAGCAGGGTTCGATTCCTCACATGGGTACAATGTGTGAAGCACATTTCTGGTGTCCCCGCCGTGGATATTGCTGGAATAAGGCTAAAAGTGGCGTAAAACCATACTCACTCACTCACTATGACAGGCTAATTCTTAAATCAAAACCCCTCAGTTTATTTAGTAAAGGAATCAGGTCATGACACTACTTTCCTCAAGGATCCTTGCCTGTACATAACATGATAAAAATGCAACATGGAACTATACAAGCTACAAGTGAGGCTAACCTCGAGTGCGATCATTTCCTGTACGGTGTAATGGAGGTAGTCCAGAGCTCGCTGGGCCACGTCCCCTGGGCGCTTCAACAGGAACAACAGAGCACACTGGCGAGAGAAGAGGTAGTTGCGGAACTCCAACACACTGGCCTTGTTCATCTTGATGGTGTCCCGCAGCTGGTGGTTCAAGGCCTTGGTGAGGGACAGACCACTCCAGTTGCTACATGGCTGGATGAGAGGGGCCAGCCATTTCACATGAGCTGTTCAAAAGAAAAGGATAGAGTAATATTGTCTATACTTCACATATTTGAATATACTCCATGAAAAGAACAAGTTGTAGTGAAAAATGGATTACACTTTTGTTACATCTGACAACTTTTTATAGGCATATCAAATATATAGTTGCCTTGCAGTGCTGACACTATCTTTTTAGCAACAAATCAAGTGACAATGGAGCAATAGCCCCCACTAGTGTGTGACACAGAATACCCCAGTGTGTGACACAGAATACCCTAGTGTGTGGCACAACCTACCCCAGGGTGTGACACTGCCAACCCCAGTTTGTGACACAGCCTTCCCCAGGGGTGTGTGACATCGCCTACCCCTGACAATGGAGCAATAGCCCCCACTAGTGTGCGACACAGAATACCCCAGTGTGTGACACAGAATACCCCAGTGTGTGGCACAGTCTGACCCGGTGTGTGACACAGCCTACCCCAGGGGTGTGTGACACCGCCTACCCCAGGGGTGTGTGACACCGCCTACCCAAGAGAGTGACACCGCCTACCCCAGTGTGTGACAAAGTCTACTCCAGTGTGTGACACAGCCTACCCAGTGTGTGACACAGCCTACCCCAGGGTGTGTGACACACTGCAAGAGAGTGATCCCCACCCCAGTGTGTGACACAGTCTGACCCAAGAGTGTGACACCAGTCTACCCCAGTGTGTGACAGCCTACCCCAGTTTGTGACACAGCCTACCCCAGGGTGTGACACTGCCTACCGAAAGAGTGACACAGTCTACCCCAGTGTGTGACACAGTCTACTCCAGTGTGTGACACAGCCTACCCCAGGGTGTGACACTGCCTACCCCAATGTGTAACACAGCCTACTCCAGTATGACACAGTCTACCCCAGTGTGTGACACAGCCTACTCCAGTGTGTGACATACCTCCTGCTGCATGGTTCTCTGCAAACTGTGTAAACAGAGCATCCAGCTCATCATACTGCAGCAGTGCATCGTCGTACACACCCAGGATCTCAAACATAAAGGCCAGCTCCTCCTGCAAACCAACACAACACAAACAATACAAAACACTTGTAGGCAGCTGCACTTCCAGCCATATGATAATGGCCTGTATAAATATGACTGGATCAGACACACCAGTGACTGACATCATCAGCATTAACAACAGAGTGGTATGGTGACACATAATCAAAGAGTCGGTGAGACAGACCACCCATTCCATTAAGTCTCTTCGGTACTAAAACAGCAGTGGAGAACTTAACTTGCATGTAACATAGGCATTCTACCATGAAATACAGTGATCATGGACATAATGACTTATTACAGACTGGGAAAAACGAACTTTTAAAAATGATAAATAAATCACCTGCACAACAAAATATTCCATATAGTTCCACCCTGGTTCATTCCGTTTCTCCCTCAGAGCCCGCATGTTGTCCTCAAAACGACCCAACTGCCGATTATATGCAGTCAACAGTAAGGGGCGGAGCTTGGTGAAGAAGTTATACCAGGATTCAGCACTCTTGGCGTCAGTCTTCATCGGCTCTGTCAGCACCAGACATCTGAGAAACGAGGTCACTCACCAATGGGTCAAGGTCAACAGGTCAAGAAAAGCACCACTTTACATTTGAACAGTTGAAGAAATGTGTCATTTCGATCAATGCAGTTGACAAACATTCTAATATAACCATAATATAAATGAAATATTGTTCTAAGTAGAACTAATGTCACTCACTTTGATCTATTTCACTATCAGAAATCTCACCTTTCTTGTGCCTTGCTGCAGAAGTCACTCTTGACTTTGTCTATCACAGACGACCTTGGGAGAATTTTGGATTTGAGTTTGCTTTCATCCATCACTACCACCACGATCAACCAGTCTGGGATGTTCTTTCCCTTCAGTGCAGCCTGCCATTCAGCAATGTCTTCTTTCACTGTCTGCTTGTAGCCTTCTAGGTCCTACACAATCCAAGATACTACATCAGAAAGCATGGCAGACTGATATATGTATCCCTACTGACTGGGTGTTAAATGAACTACTCTCTCCAGCGATCATGTTACTGTACTTAAGAAGAATTAGAGAAAAAAAAATAACCATTGATGTTTCTTCACTATTTATAAAAAGGGGAATAACTCAACAAAGTTTACAAACCACCTCATCCTCTTATCAGAGTAATAAGTAAAAGGCTGGTTTACATTGTTATCAGTACCCAGGTACCTTGTGGTCGGTACCCAGGTACCCAGGTATATGTGTTTTGCACCCAGCAACATTGAAGATTTATGATGGCAGCCTATAGATTATCAAGCTTGGACCAGATAATCCAGTGACAAATAATGATAGTAATGATTCTTCCTGTTGGGGTAAAATGACATGCAATGAACCAAGACAGCAAGCCTGACCACCTGAAACATTAAATTCTGACCAAACATATGTCGCTGGGAATATATATCTTAATCTACTATGGTTGCCAAAGACTGTCAGAGGAAAACACTAGTTCCCCTGACAATAAACAAATTTCCAAGCTTACAAAGCTTATTTTATTACATGCACTTACACAGTCTGTCCAGTATATATGGAAGTATGGTCTACTGATGAGGACTCTGTCATCTTCTTCAGGGAGGATGTCAGCATCATAGGGAACAAAACTTGCTTCAAGTTGTAAAGTGCGAGGTGCTCGGCCGTATGATCTATAACAGCAATATGACTATTATAACCATGAGTACATAATATAAAGATATAATTACATACTAAAGTTAGTTCAAGTGCAATTCGTGAATGCCCCTATTTACTATGTTGTATTATTTACTATTAACTATGGTAAAAGGTAAGGAGAGGTGGAACTTAACACTGTGTTAAAGATTATTCACTTACAATTACATTCAACATGTTCATTTGTCATAACAGATACCTTTTCCATTCACATGATTCTTTTGGCAAACCATTAAGAACCATGGGATGCAGTTGGGAAAACAAGCTTTGGTCTCCATGGCCTGCAAAAACAAAACCCTGGAGATTAGAACACATAGAAAGTGAATGATGCATGAGAAAAGTATTTCAGAAATAACATTACATGAAACCAGCATTTTTACATTTTGTATTTTTTTTTCCAGTAGATGATTTAAAGGTAATTAGCTTCTTCACTACTGACAAATAACCTGAATGAATATCACCATATTTTTTTCAGATTTTAGTTAGCGCTGGGGAGAAATTGAACATGATTTACCAGCTTGAGCTAATGAGCTTTACCATGGTACCAGATGTGCTGTTACAAATATCACTCTTTTAACAGTCATGATTATGATCACATGATGATAGCTTCAGTTCAAAGCTGGCATGTTTACAGTTCTGGCACCACAACAGTTAATTTCTGATTGTGTCCTTTGCACAAGCACCCTATCCATTATTCGCTGCAAAAATCACGTTACTCGTTTCCCTCAAATTACACGTGACTAAATCTTTGAAAGAGGGAGATAGAGACCAGTGCCATATCTTCAATCTCAAACAACACATTAGATCCTAAAGGGTCCTTAACTGACAAAAACTTTACGAATTCCGCGATGGGGTCCAAAAGTCTAGACTTGCATGTTTGTTCAGTGAAACAAGAACTGCAGTCGGAGCTGGCACCTGTAGTTTTACCCACCTATCGATGTTACAAGTACATATGACAGTCCCTTGCCTGATCTAGTCTAAGTATTGCAATCTGTCATGACGTTTACATTTGTAATAATAACACAAACATAATTTCACAACAATTTCAATATCGGTTATATTCGAATAAATTTCCGGGTGTGCTACGTACATGTCACAATGGGCTTAGCCTCCATATTTAGTCTGATGTGAGAAAACACCTCAATTCATCCGACTTCCTCCCATTTTGGATACACAGAGCTATGTCCTTCACCTTGCTTTCCATTAAGTAAAGCTATGATTTATAATGTAATTGAGAGATAGACTTAACATGGAAACTTGAAGACTTTAGCAATAACAAATCACAAGGACAAATGTAAAGAGAATTTTTAACTTTGAAATGAAAATTAATACAAGAAATATATTTTCATGACTATTTACGGGGTTATATTGGGGAGCCAGCTTCGATGTAAAATGCGGCTGTCAGAGAGAAGTCAAAATGGCGGACGATTTAGGTGACGAGTGGTGGTTGAAAGGCGATAATGCACCACGTGGTTGGTATTTTTGCACTATTTACTCTAAAAGTAGAAGGGTACGTTTATCATGCTGTGTTAATGAAAGCGGGTATCACACGTTTAAGTTTGGGATTTATTTTCTCTCAATAACTGGAGGTCTGATCGGTTTTTACACGTGTGAACATTTCTGGTGTCCCCCGCCGTGATATTGCTGGAATATTGCTAAAAGCGGCGTAAAACTAAACTCAGTCAGTCAGTCAGTACACGTGTGAAGTCCCATCCCTGTACCCTCGTGTTATGTGTTATGAACATAATGTGCTGTCTCAATTATCGCATGTCACTAACTTATTGCAGATAATGGGGACCAGATAACTCATAACTCCAGGTACAGATAAAATTTAAACTAAATTTACAATGTCTGTGTCACTCAACTACCCCCGTCTGAAAACGTATGATCCGACGATACTGCTCGCCCAAGCATATCTGAGAAAACCACAGTTTTTGTTTGATTTCCTTACCATTAGATGAAGATGGTATGTAAGTGTTGCGGCCGTAAAATGTCTTTTTGTGTCAAATTCGAGAGATACAATACGTGGGGTGGGGTCCACAGTCAGTGCATGACCCTACATCAAGTCATGACAGTCAGACGCAGCTCTCCTCCTGCTACACACACAACCCTGTAATGGGTGAGTGAGTTTAGTTTTACACCGGACTCAGAAATATTCCAGCTATATGGCGGCTGTCTATAGATAATCCAGTCTGGACCAGACAATCTAGTGATCAACAGCATGAGCATCAATTGCGCAATTGGAGGAAGCGATGACATGTGTCAACCAAGCCGGCGAGCCTGACCACCCGATCCCGTTAGTCGCCTCTTACTACAAGCATGGGTTACTGAAGATTCATTCTAACCCGGACCTTCACAGGTCCCCTGTTATGGGACACAGGGTAGGGTACTGTATTACAAATGTGGCCCATATTTGATGTGTATGTGTTCAGTCCCACATTGAAATAATTAATATAATTTTCAGATGAAAAGTCCAGCGATTCAGCAGATGAAACTCCAAGCCAGCCTGACAAGAAGATTCAGGGTGTAAAGAGGAAAAAGGCAAAGAAACGAAAAGCCAATGATCCGGGTGTCAAAACAGATGAAATAAATGGAAAGAAAAAACTAAAAACAGCTCCTAAAATTGAAGAAACACTCGTAAAATCTGACGAGGAGAAACCAAAGAAGAAAAAGAAGAAAAAGCGTGCTAGGGTACTGAAGTGATTTTATTTAGCACATTCGTAGTTGACATTAAAATAGCCATCAAAACAATGATTTTGTCAGCATTTCTTCAAAAAGTGTGTTTGTTTTTTAATGTTGCACCAAACAATATTACAGCTATATGATGGCTTCTCCAAAGATAAGTTAATAACAAAATATGCTAAATATACGTCAGTTTACATCTTGAATTTATGTACCAAGCCTGTAGAATGTGATAGGATTTTAGGTGTTCAAAGCAACTGTGCAGTTTTGTCCCTTATGTTGTGCATTTCAGTTGCACATGCCGCTCATGTATGATCTCATTCTCAGCATACGCCATTTTACCAAAGCAAAAATTCAGGTTCCACCCACATTAGGCAGTGAGAATGAGTGTAACCAGTCATTAGGAAAATACTAGGGCCGCTACGAATACACTATGTGACGAATATGATACGTATCATGAATATTGGGTAATGAATACGATTAATTATTCACGAATACAATATTGTAGTTAAGTGATTGATGTACAGTATGGAACGCCCATGTTGACAGTTTTGATTTGTAACAGCAATAACCAGTGATCTCATGACACTCAAATTTGGTATGTAATAGTTTTAGTTGACAGTACCATGTGCGGCCTTGGCAAACTAACATTACTTTCGCTACTGCAAGGCTAGTACATATTCCATTCTTGCATATCTCACTTTCCAAAAGTACACAAGGGTTCAAGTAAAACGTGCTCCCTTAAAAAAATTGTAAATATTCGTTAATATTCGGTTCAGGTGACCACGAATAACGAATTGAATTCATGAAGGGCTACGGTTCGATTCACTGAATATGCGAGTGAATCGTTACAGCCTTAGAAAATACAGTTAAATGTCATTCTCAGCATACGCCATTTTACCAAAGCAAAAATTCAGGTTCCACCCACATTAGGCAGTGAGAATGAGTGTAACCAGTCATTAGGAAAATACAGTTAAATGTCACTAGCTATCACCTTGATTCATGAAATGTATGGAAGAAGTTAAACAAGACTTTCCCTTTTCAGAAAAGGATCTCAGAAGAAATATCAGGCAAAACATTAAATCCAGCTGTTAAAGACGATTTTCTGCAATTATTGAAGTCAACATATGAGGGAAAACTGTCAGCAGTTGAATGGGATGAAATCCATTTAGAAGGTAACAGAATGGTTATGTTAATCAGCTTTCAACAAGTTGTGGTATTAACCGATACGACAGTGTGATTTTACTTATGGTATCAACCACTTGACAGGTTCAGATTTCATTTCAGTTCACTTAGCTATTTCTTAAATTTTGGTTTCTTCAAATGACAATAATTATTTAGCATTCTGATGTGTAGATGGATGTTCATAATAGGATGGATCTGTTGGAAGTTTCATATGTAATATTTTTACTTCAGCTGCAGACTTTCTTGTGAGCAACCCTTCCTCAGATGGGTCGGCACCATGTAATTACCTGGAGTCTGTGGTGCCAAACTGGCCCGGTATGGTGGCAAGTGCTGGCCTGAAGCCAGGGACTCCATTCATGTTGATCATTGCCAGCTCAGGGGTGAGAGCTGTAGAACTCAACAGGTACATCATCTCTTCAGCATTTGTAGATTTGTACATTTCATGTGTAGTGAATTTACTCACGTGTCCAGGTTGGACTCTTTACTGAATTTTACTAACAACGGTGTGATCAGTTACTGCTAAGCTTTGCCATACATTTGTGTGTAGATGACAATTCTTTCTTTTGGAGTTGCCAACACTGCCCCACACCCTTTGTGAAAGTGGTCTTTGATTTTCACTTTGTATTGTTTCAGGGATATTCAGAAATTCAAGGGCAAAGATTGTAAATGTGCAAAACTGTTTGCCAAACATTTTAAGGTAAGTTTAACTGTATATATGTTGCAACAATTTGTCCTGATTAATACCTTCCTCTATGCTGCATGAAGGTAAATACGTATCCAGTTTCTTGAGCCAGGTATATCTGACAAATTCATTCTTAAAAAAACCCCATAATGTCAGCCCATTCAGAATAGCTTATGTGCTCAACTGTCTCCCCAGAGTTGCTCCCCTTGGTTGAAAGCACTCTGATTTGAAATACGGTTCCTCAATCATCATTCATGTTTTTCAATGTTGAGGATTGATATTCAACCAAGATCTGCATCACTGCTTCACACAATATGACTTGATTTAGTTCAGAGGGAGTAAACCAGGTATCTTAATTCATTTTGTATTTTCCCATTATCTAAACACACTAACACTATACAACCATACGTGAGGTTGTATCATTCCAGGATTCATTGTCAAACCTCTTTGATTTTCAGTTAGCTGAACAAGTAGAGTTTTTGGCGAAGAAAGTCTGTCATCTCGGCATCGGCACACCAAATAGAATCGGTGCATTGATAAAGTCAGGTATGGAGTTGTTAGTTTTCTCATTTATAGCATATAACATGCGGATCCAGGATTATGGAGAAGGAGGGTGCACATCAATCATAAAGTCCAAAGGTTAGGGGGAAATGCTCCTCAGGGAAATGTTTTTTTGGGGGGTGGGGTGAATGCACCCCACCACTTGATCAACTCCTGATATAACATGTGTATGTATTGTGATTATGAAAGAGTTCCCAATGCAGTGGGATGTAACAAAATGTTTGTTTTATTTGCTCTGACATGTTTAGGTGTATGGACTTCAAATTCTTTGGTAAAATCTTTAATGAGGCCAGACCTTGTTATCATCAAAATTGATGAGACGTACAAACTAGAATGCTGTGTTTAATTCGGAACTTTATTTCCAGGCTCATTAAAACTGGACAATTTGAGGTATGTGATCGTAGATTGGAACTGGCGGGACATCAAGTTTAAGAGAATTACAGACATTCCTGAAGTGAAGAAAGACTTTTTGGAACTGTGCAAGACACACCTGATTCCACACATACGAGACAGTTCTTGTAAGATTGGGATTCTCTGATGAAACAGCTATAATAATGGACAGGCTCTTGTTGAAGAAACCAAGGTTGATACTGAAACAATGACAGAATGTTCCCTTCTTCACTTGACACTGAAATAAGATGTTCTCTAGCAGGGATGTTTTGTACAGAAGTATATGATGAATGGGACTTTAGTTCACATGGAGGTGAATTTGAAAATTTGTTTACTGGAAAATGAAACTTTCTCAGACATTGTGAACTGTTTAGCTCTCTTCAAGATTTCCACAGATACTGCGATGTTGTTATTGGAAGTATAGGGATGTTTTTCATCATATCATGATGTTTTATTGGTTATGTTTGTGTATATTTAAAAATTATGGATTTCCAACACAATATGTTAACTGATTCATAATCATTATTACAATTTACTGCCAATAAATATTTTGCATCTTTTAGAACTAATAGACATTTATGGTTGGTTTTTGACAAATATTTTCAGTGGAAAAGATATATATTTCCCATATGGCGTCATTACAGAGTTAAGTGGTACAACCAGCCTTCCATGTTCACTTTTGAACGGCTGCTTCATCTGTCATAGCCATTAGTAAAGTAATGGGAATGTATGAAGCCAGCAGACTGCCTTCAGGAGCAGTGTTTGCAATACTTTAGTTCAACAGTTGGCCATCAGGGCCTGCTGTCGCCTGCAGGATTTAAAATGTACAGGCCCTGAATGAAATCTGCAGGCCCATTTTGTTAAAGTCAACCCAATAAAAACAAGATAGACTACACTGTACACAGTTTCACACTGTTTCTACGAAATCAATTAGTGTGGCATATGGCGTTGGTGTTGACATTCCTATGTGCAAAGCGCTGAAAAACCAGGAAGTGAAACTGTAAGTTATCATAACATGGTGGATCACGGATGATTCCCGAATGTTAATAAAGAAAACAAAAACAAAGGAAAAATTCCAATTGAAAAAGAAGACAGACAATTTACTGAAGGCCACTATATACTAGACAAAAATAGTTAGGGATATATGCAAATTTTGAAATTATGAATAATAATCTATTTATTCATTGTCACACTGATAAAATATAAGTCATAAAAAAACCAATATCCCTAACTTATTTTGTCAAGTATATTTGAAACTGCCAGCTGATACAATAACAACTGGTGCTGTGCCTCCCGGCCAGGGATTTCGAAAAACGCTGTGTCTGAAATTTTGAGAGTAACTACCATGACATTCATTGGGGTAGACTTCTGGTTAAAGTGTTCATTGTTACAGGAAACATCCAGACCGCATGGGTACTGTGTGTGAAGCCTTTTTCTGCTGTCCAGTGCCGTGATATAAAAGTGCTCTAAAACAATGCGCACTGATGCTTGCAATTAACCACTGGATGATTTAAACCAAACTCCCTCTTAACACTTATGAGAGAATTCTCTACAACCTTCCTAATTTAACCTTCCGTCACGCCGAAGACCCGGGTTCGATTCCCCACATGGGCACAATGTGTTAAGCCCATTTCTGGTGTCCCCCGCCGTGATATTGCTGGAATATTGCTAAAAGCGGCGTAAAAACTAAACTTCAGTCAGTCCTAAACGGCCTTTCCTCTAACACTATACCAACAGACAGTTATGCCGCATGAATATGTCCAGAGCAGCATTATATTTTGTTTAGACATATATTTGTGGTATTTTAAATTCAATTTTGTTATTTTATAAATGTCACAGCATTAGGTATTTCATTTAAGGGGATATGCGCTAAGGCAGGGGCGGATACAGCTTTTTGAGAAGAAGGGGGAGCACCCTCTTGAGAAAGTGGGGTGCACACTTCATTTACACGCCAGCTTCAATGGTCATTTAATAAACTTTCAGGAGAAGGGGTGCGCACCCTGGAACACCCCACCCCTCTCTCTCTCTCTGGATCCGCCTATGTAACGTAGTGTTTATTGAGCCTCAATGGCCTATCTTATTCCCTCGAAATTATGTTTTACGTTAGGAGTTTAGGAGTTCTGCTGCTGCCGGAGCGGTGGGGTAGCCTAGTGGTTAAAGCGCTCGTCACGCCGAAGCCCCTGGTTCGATTCCCCACCTGTTGCAGTAGTGAATACATGAGACTTAAGAGAATGTAAGAGAATGGTCACTTAGTTTTAGGTCGAGGCTATCGGCTGTGACTGTTCTCAGATGGACATTTATTGGCTGATATGTGTGTGTACCTGGAAGGTTTCCTTGTGAAGAACCAAACGTCATCTCCAGTACGCTGCACTCTGTAATATTACAGCTTTGTGACGACATCTTGTAAGTAATCGAGTTTGAACCAGAACAGACAGTGATTGATAATGAGTAGCCACAGACTCATACACGCGGCCGGGTAACTATCAACCAAGAGCTTCAGCATGACCATCGGATCCATAGATTGCTGGGGACCCATTTTCACCACATATCCCAACGGGCCGCCAGACAGTGGTCTGGCAATATGTTCCTATGATTTTAACAAACATTGATATTCATGTGAGTTTGAGGCCCACCTTACGAGCGATCCGTTTTTCCACAAGGCTACGTCACAGCTCTATGGTGTTGAAGGAGTTCAAAGCCACACGTGGATTGTACCAATGCTTGGTTTGTGATGTGGCGCATTGTCCTGACGGAAGAGCACACCTTTCCCCCGTCTCTTGTTCATAATCATAAGTGGAAATACCGTAAAAGTGATGGACCCCGTTCCACAAAGCAATCCTAGCACTACGACTTTCTAAGTGTATGTTAAAGTATGGGAGTTACGATCTCCTTAGCGTTAAGATTGAGGAACAGATCCCTGCATCAAAAGCACCGTTTATTTCATGGCTCTTTGAAAGGTATTCCATCACGAGACCCGCCTCCCAGAACACAGAAGCCCTAACCTTTTCAGATTATAGGACACTATTTTTAGTTGAAATAAATCACCCACCCCCAAAAAAAAATAAAAAAAATAATAATAATAAAAAAAATATAATAATTTGTTTTAATAAAACAAAATATAAAAAAAAATAAAATAAACATAAAAAAGATAAGTATTTGTTTTTCACCACTACATGCATTTTTGTAACAAAGGTGTCAATTATTCTACACATCCACGCAATGTTATGGCCATTCATAATATAGCCTGACACATGTCATCGTATCCCAGTTGCGTAGATCGATGCTCATGCTGTTGATCATTGGATTTTCTGGTCCAGACTCCATCATATACAAACCACCGCCATATAGGTATGGAATATTGCTGAGTGCAGCGTAAATCTAAACTCACTCACTCACTAATAATATAGCCAAACACCATGGGCGGATCCAGGAATTTTGAAAGGTGGTGGTGGTGGTAGGGGGTTTGGGTTCAGGGGCTCCGCCAACGCAAAAAAAATAAATCTTCAATGTGATCATTTTCAAAGGAGGTGGTGGGGGGTTGGTTTGAACCCCCTGGACACCCCCTCTTGGATCCGCCCATGAACACCTTTGTGTCGACACTTTGATAAGTCGAATTTACGATAGCCTTAAAGTTGTCCCTGCATGCTCCTTTTTTCGTGATCTTACTTTTGTGCCAAACCTCGGATAACTCGAAGTATTTACGGAGGTCTCTTCAGTTTCGAAACAACGGTGTTTGACTAGTTTACACTGTATCAATTCGAATTCCGAACTAGTGAATGTCGAGCTGTTATCACAGCTCTGGATACATTGTATAATCAAAGATAAGATAACATACCTCGTAACGGATCAACATGCCGTCATTTCATACACTGCAAACACGTCCACCTTGTAGGAAATATTTGCAAGCTCTATACGTCCATGAAGTGCCTGCTTGTTCATTAAATTATATACTTATGTTCCCACTTAGATTGTTCTTTTGTAGACAGACATGGTTGAAAACCATTTGGCATACATGTATTTTATAATGCAGATCTATATTTGTACATGGACTTGTGGGGATTGTGCCAATGTTATAGAATAGTTTCAACAAAATACGTTCGTTTTGAAAGATCATTAAACTTCAGCGAAGTTCACAGTAGGGATATCAGATTTGTCTGACACCATAAGTACGGTATGTGCTTTGTATTCTTCGTCAGTCAGTCTCATCGTGTATTCAGTTGTAAATGTTGGCGGCTTATATACTGATTGCAGCGCTCGATTTACGGAACTAGGTACAACTTGTTTAAGTGCGACACCCCAGCCTTGTTACTCAAGATTAAACCAGACTGCATCATTAGGGTATATGCTCCCCATATGTGTATGTAAGTGAGTTTAGTTTTACGCCGCACTCCAGCAATACTCCAGCTATATGGCGGCGGTCTGGAAATAATCGGGTCTGGACCAGACAAACCAGTGATCAACAGCATGAGCATCGATCTGCGCAATTGGGATACGATGACATGTGTCAACCAAGTCAGCGAGCCTGACCACCCGATCCCGTTAGTTGCCTCTTACCACAAGCATGGGTTACTGAAGATCAGTATTCTAACCCGGACCTTCACGGGTGACATGTGTATGTAATCGGCTGCAGTGTTGTTCACAGGTAAGATCACTTCGAATGGAATTACAAGATACATCCCATGCATTATCCTGCTTTCATCATATTCACCTGACACGTTTGTATGATATCAAGTCCAAGGATAGCTATGTTATCTTAGCTCAAGGACAATGTCAAATTACAGATAACACCGGGAATAGTGATGTAGTATGGAATGTGTGTTGAGTTCAGCGACTGATGAGTGGAAAACCTCCCTTGTAACGAACAATAGTGACTATAGTTTTACGCCGCTTTTAGCAATATCTCAGCAATATCATGGTTGGGGACATCATAAATAGGCTTCACACATTGTACCCATGGTAACGAGCAATATGTTACATTTGTATTCTGTTTTAAGTGTTTGCCCAGATGTGTCCAGACTTGGGATTGTCCTTTCTGTGGAGGCAGTGGGATAACCTAGTGGTTAAAGCGTTCGCTCTCGCGCTGAAGACCTAAGTTCGATTCCCCGCGTGGGTACAATGTGTGAAGCCCATTTCTGGTGTCTCTCGCCGTGATATTGCTGGAATATTGCTAAAAGCGGCGTAAAACTAAACTCTCCCTCTCCTTTCTGTGGTTGATGGAACGAATTTGGAAACCCAAAAGGAAGGAGTTGGGTAGTTTAACCTTTTGTGTTGAATGAAAAGATCGTTAAGAATAAGTTCGTTTTTGAGAGGAAAAAAATGTGATAAACTGCAGTGTACTCACAAATGGTCGAGAATAACAGCAGCTTAAAGATAATCATATGAAACAAAGATTCTCGTGAAGTTTGGAAATTCATAAGCAAAACTGCTTTTGACAGTGAGAGACATGGGTCAAACCATGAACGATATTAAAGGGCGGAGTTGTTTTATGTTACTGAGGTGTTGATGTAAACAAACGGATCTGTGAATTTACTTTATACGTTATTTAGGGGAATTCTTCGGCTAGATGTGA